TACATACATATATATATATGTATATATACAATAAAAACTGTTTTATAAGTAACATAGGTCGGAATCATGTTATGGCTTCTATTCCTCTATACTTTACTTGGCAAGACTCTTTAAGCTGTGTCTTAGAAACTACTCTTCTCTACACTCATTCTACCTTGACACTTGCAGCAAAGGAAGCTGCTTGCCTGAATTCGGCTTCCGCAGCCAACAGCTTCGTAAACCTCACCCTGAATCCTGAACTAGGAAATTCAAGCTCACGTACAACTCTGCCAATAAATAAAGTTGGCCGAGTTCTATACCCTCATCCTGTGATTGCTTGGCACACGCTTATCTTGACTACCTTTACTGTCAGGATTTCTGTCCTTCCAAATTCTAGCACTCTTGGAGATGGAACAACATTTATAATCAGCCCAGATAATAGTCCTTCGCCTTCAGAAAGATATGGCTCTTCACTAGGAATTTTAGATCAGTCAGCGCCAGGTGACTAATCTATCCATACTATTATATCTTAATTTTGGTCTGTCTAAAAAGTGTTAAAATGTGGCAGATTCAAAATAATGAAAATCTTTAATTATGTCCAAATTTCAGGTGGCCACCAAGTAGTGGTAGAGCTGGACACTTTCAAGAACGAGTTTGATCCAGACGTAAACCATATCGAATCAACATAAGAAGTATGCAATCAGTAGTAGCAAAGAGTCTGAATAGCACTGGAATTGACCTGAAAAGTGCAAGAGACATCTAGGTAAAGATTGATTATAATGGCTGGACAAAGATGCTCCAGGTTTCCATAGCATACTCCGGTAACCCACTTACGAGCTTCCTTAAGAAATCAATAGCCCTCAAAGATCTTGTTCTGAACTCCGTTTACTTAGGCTTCACAGCTGCTACAGGGTTGTATTCAGAAAGGCATCAACTCCTGAATTGGATGTTCCAGTTGACACCATTGCCATCTCCAAAGGAAGGAACTCGCAGACATGATAAGATAAAATTTAGTGTGAAAATTTTCTTTGCTTTCATTACCGAATTGGTAATCCTGGCAGTGATTATTTTTTTATGGACGAAGGGAATTTTGAGGAGGGGAAAAGAGGAGACTCATCAGAAAACAGATATAGAAAGCAGGTCAAGAAGTGTTGCAAATGTGCCTAAAATGTTCACCTACAAGCAACTCACGAAGGCCACTAGCAACTTTCACAATGAAAACCTATTAGGTTCGGGTGGATTTGCGAGTGTTTATAAAGGCAACTTATTGTTTAATCCTCCTACAATTGTAGCTGTCAAAAAGATCTCAGCAACCTCAAAACAAAGTTCGTGTTAATGAATAAGTAATAGATTCAACTTTTATATCAGTTTAAACTTTTAGAATAATTATTGAACACAAACAATTACATAACATACTATTAGAATTAGAGATTTAGCATTTGAATATAATTTTACATACAAGGTGAGAAAGATTACTTTGCAGAAATATGCACAATAGGGCGTTAAGGCACAAAAATATAGTTCAACTCTCCTCTTGGTCTATGATTACATGCC